TTTTCACCTTGGGTTTTTGCCTTTAAACTCACTTTTGCCACAAGTACTTTCTAGCCTGGTCCTGTCTCAGTAACACTGGAGGCTGCAAAGGAGCTCTTATCACCTCTTACACCCACCAGGAAACTCTCATGGACATTTTGCTGCATTAGACTCTCCCTCTTGCTATTGCAGGGTAGCTCCCAGGGGGAGGATTCAGTGAGTGGTTCCCAGCGAACTTCCAGTATCTATGCACGAGAGGCCCTCATCGAAATCGACTATGGTGACCTATGTGAGGATCTGAAGGTGAGGCTCACACTAGGGTGGGGTGGCGGTGGTGTCCAGCTGCCCAAAGAGTTACTCCATGTGAGGGCCCTGAGTCTGGAAAGAGAGGAGAGCTGGCAAGGGAGGGAGGAGTTAACTTGTGGTCCAGGGTCTACTCCCCATGTGTGCACACAGACACAGGCACATCTTCCATTCCCGCTCCCAGTTACCCCATGTCCCTACCTTCTGCCAGTTTCCCCTTCCATGCTCATACATCTCGGGTTAGGCCCACACAGAACATGTGCTCCTGTGCAGAAACCTTGGATGTTCCTCAGGGTTCTGTCTCAGTTGGCATTCTCACTTGGCATTCTCTCATCCTGGGTATCTTGTTTATTCCCTTAGCTTCAGTTATCATCTCTATACTAGGTCTTATAGGTACCTCAAAACCCAACCTCCCTTCCCAAATCTACCCCATCTCAGTGCCAGCCCCAGATTCAAACCAGAATCTGAGCCTAATTCTTGACACTCTCCCTGTATATTCAGTGAATTACCAAGCCCTATTCATTCTCCCACCTAAATATCTATTGACTTCTATTCCACTTTCTGTAGTACAGGCTGCTTTTCTATGTCACATGAATTACCGTAAGATCCTTCTAGTTTCTGATGCTTGCCGATCCATCATTACAGGGAGGTTACTTGATATTTTTGAAAACTTTATTATGCTGATTTTCAAACATATGGAAGTAGAGAGATTGATATAATGAACCCCAGGTATTCATCATCCAGTTTTCAGCAATTAGCACCATGTGCTCAGTCTCATTTTTATACCCTTCTTTCTTGCCATTGAACTATTTTAAATCAAATTCAGGTATTGTTCCATTGATAATTACCTTAGCATGTATCTCTACAATATAGATAATTAAAACAATACGCAAAATATCATTCCAAGAAAAATTTAATAATAACTCTAATTTCTAATATTCAGTAAGTGTTTAGATTTCTATGACTGTTCCATAAATATATATTTTTTACAGTCTGTGTATTTAAATCAGGATTCAAGTGAGGTCCAGATGTTAAAATCAGTCTTTCTAGTATGTGATGTTTTTTCTTACCCCTTTTTATTTTTTCCCTATTTATAGGAGAAACTGGGTCATTGGTCTTATACAGTTTTCTACACTGTGAATTTATGTCCCATGATGTTATTTAACAAGTTCTTCCAGCCCCTGTATTTCCTGTAGACTGATCGTTAAATCTAAGATTGACTGGATTCAGGTTCATTTTGTGTCTTTGGCAAGATTGTGTCATGGGTAGTTCTGTATACGTTTCAACTTTCTTTTGCATTGAATTGGTAGGTACCGAATATCAGTTTTATCAAGATTGATCAGTGTTCAACATTATTTATAGAATATTCTTGCCACAAATTCAAACAAGGGTCCAATCAAGCTTTTATAGCTATCCATTACATGAAGCACTGGTATAAGAGGAATATGATAAATGAAAGCACAGAGCTGCAGTTAGCCAAATCCAGACTGGGAAATTAAAGGACAAAAGCTATGTTCTCTTCCATAAGTAAACAGGAAGAAAGAAAAGAAATGGAGGGAAAGCTTTTTAAAAAAGATTTATTTATTTGTTTGTTTATTCATGCATGCATGCATATAAGACCAGGCCAGGTGGGCAGTGAGGGACTTCACCAGAGGTAGAGTGGGGAGCAGAAAACTGAAATCCGTTGCTGAGGGGAGCAGTGGGTGGGTCAGGAGAGGTCTGCCAGGCCACATGGGTCACGTCCCTGGCTGGGGATCCAACTGTGCTGCAGTGGCTGCTGATAGCTTCATAGTGCTGTGCTTTGACCTGTTTTGCCACCAGGGAGGGCCCCAGAGGGAAAACTTTTATTGATATGAGGCAAATAAACCAATTGGAATATGTGGTCCTCTCTTGAATTTATTGCAAAGAAAAAAGAGGAAGGGGAATTTTTGTAGTGTGTACCTTGTTTAGAACCTCTTAGAAAATTAAAAAAATATATATTGTATAAGTCTTTCCCTTGGTGGCACAGTGGGTTAAAGCACTGCACTGTGAAGCTCTCCAAAGCCACTGCAGCACGAGTCACATCCCCGGCCATGGAGCTGACCCACAAGACGTGGCAGACCTCTCCTGTCTCACCCGCTATTCCCCTCAGCAGTGTATTTTGGTCAATCTGCCTGTTCTGTTCCCCACTCGCTTGTCTCTGGTGAATCCTCTCATCCACCACACCTGTGGCCTGTACTCCAGTTCTGTAAGCATAAATAAATAAATCATTTAAAAATATATTGTATAAAACAATTAGGAGGGTATGAACACTGACCAGATACATTTATAATGTCCAGAAATTGTTCAGATAGTTTATGATGTTCATGAATTATTGTTAATGTTTTTAGGTGGGAGAACGGTGTTGTATTTTTATTTTTAATTGTTCTTACCTTTTACAACAGTGCTTCTTAGTGGGATGAGGGTGGGATGGATTTTGTGTTTCCAGTGGACATTTGGTAATGTCTTGGAGACACTCTTGTCATACCCACTTATTACAACTTGAGGCAGAGTATAGCCATGCCACTCAGCATCCTACAGTGCACAAAGGACAGTCCCCATAACAAAAAATCATGCCATCGAAAATGTCAATACTGCCAGGATTCAGAAACCCATTTCAGAGGTACATACACCCATATTTATAGGTGAAATAATGTCTAAAAGAAGTGGGTATAAAATGGCATAGTATTGGCCATGAGTTGATATTTATTGGAACTGAATAATAAGCACATGCGGTTTGTTATGTTATTCTCTGCACTTTTATATATGTTTGAAAATTTACATAATACATATTTTAAAGAGGAAAAAATCATGATCACTAGATTCAGGTTTTGTTAAAACCCATCAATTTTTATAAAGTTCAACCTTTTATGACTTGTTTCTAGCAACTATTAATAATCACCACCTAAATCCATGAAGGATTACAACTTATTAGTTGGAATTCTAAGAACTTTCTCACATCCAAATGTTTGTTCCCTAAAAACAATTAGCGTAGAAAAGGTAGGATATATACCTGCTTTCAAAATGAGTTGGTCAACCGAAAATATTTTGGTTACCAGAGGGAAGGTTGGGGAAGGGATAGAGAAAGGCAGGGAGGGGCTCGGCCACTGGCACAGGAAGTTTGGTGGAAGGTGAGTGTAGCATTTGTTTATAAAGGGGAGTAAATATCTAACCCTGAAATTATATAGGCATGTGAACAATCAACACAAATTAATAAAAGAATAAAATAAAGATGACTGATGAGGTTTTTAATGTAGTTGTATTTATTAAAAACGTAAGTGAATGTGTTTATCTTTTTTTTTGATGTTTAAATTGTCTCAACTTTGGCTAGCGGGAGCTAGTACAGGTTGATTTTTGTTCTTATTTTTAGATTCTTAATTATAGAAAAATTCACATGCAAAAGTAAAATAGTACAATGCTATCTTGTGTAGCCTTCACTGGTTTCAGTACTTACCAACTGGTGGCCAAACTTGTTTCTTCCACACTTGCAAATACTCCACCCTCCTCCCCCTCCCCCAGGTTATTTAAAAATAAATCCTTGGCATCATATCACTTCATTTGTAAATACTTTAGATGTATTACTTTAAAGAGATAATTCTTAAATATATTTAGAGCCATTTTCATATCAAAAAACAGTAATTCCTTAATGTTATATATATTTTGTAATAATTCATCTAGTAACATGACTAGTATTCACATTTCTCTTATTGTCATATATACACAAAATCTTACAGTTTTGCTTCTTTGAATTGGGAGTCAAATGACATGACCGGTATAGTGATTGGTTGGTATGTCTCTTAAGTCTCATTTTATCTCCATGATCCCCCTCCATCTATTTTTATTTTTATTGCTTTTTTGGGGGTTTTTAAGGATTTATTTATTTAGGCATACAAAATTGGGGTACAGGCCACAGGTGTGGGGGGTGAGAGACTTCACCAGAGACAGAGTGGGGAACAGAACAGGCAGATGTATTGAAATACACTGCTGAGGGGGCAGCAGGCGGGTCAGGAGAGGTTTGCTGTGCCATGTGGGTCACCTCCCTGGTAGCCAGGGATTAAGCTCATGCTGTAGTAGCTGACATAGCTACATAGTGCTACATTTTAACCCATTGTGCCACCTGGGAGGGCCCTATTTTTAGTATTTTTTATTGTTAAGCTAGTCATCTTGCCCAAAATATTGTCTTTAAATCTGTACTTCATTGCTTGTATTCTGTGATTTTTAAAATGTTACACAGAACAAAGAAAAAAAATTTTTTTACTATCCCCTGTAGTTCCTGTGAGTGGGTAATTAGATATAATGTTCAAAGATATAATGCCTAATAATACCCACATGTGTAATTTCTATTTTTAAAAAACATTTATTTATGCATGCAAGAACTGGGGTACAGGCCAGAGAGGTGTGTGTTGGGGGGAGAATTAGAGGATTCACGAGAGACAGAATTGGGAACAGAACAGGCTGATGTACTGAAATACACTGCTGGGGAGCAGTGGTGAGAGAGGAGAGGTCTGCCGCGCCATGTGAGTCACTGCCTTCAGCCAGCTAGGGATGAACCTGTGCTGCAGTGGCTGTGGATAGCTTCATAGTACTTGCTTAACCCCCTTGTGCCACCAGGGAGGCCCCATATGTAATGTTTAAAAGGTGAAATTAGGCCCCTGGGAACCAGGTTGAGAAGTCGAGCACAGATCATGGGTGGGGGCACCATGGTGGATGACCTCAAGCAGTTTCTATATAAAAACTTACCAAGTGTTGAAGGACTTCATGCTGTTGTTGTTTCTAGTAGAGGTGGAGTGTCTGTTGTTAAAGTAGCCAGTGACAGTGCCCCAGAATATGGAGACTTGGTTTCTTCTCCACCTTTGCCCTTGCCAGGGGGGTAAACTGGGACTTTCAAAAAATAAAAAGTATTAGTATTATCTGTTACTACAACACCTACCAAGTGGTTTAATTTAATCATTTACTTGTCGTGGTGAGTTTCATAGCCAACAGCATTGCCAATACAGAACTAATTGTCAGTTAGAAAAGGAACTTCCTCCATTATTTAAAGCTTTGAGACAAGTTGTGGAAGTTTCTTAATCCAGTAGTGGTTTTAATGTCTACCTTAACTGCATTATAAGAGACCCAGTGTCAATCTAACAATCTTCCAGACCTCAACAGTGCTTATAACCATGTACTCAACAAAGGATCCCTTTTCCACCTTATCTAAACAAAGAGCCTATAGTATAACAAATTGGTTGTCCTCTTTTCCTGTATGGGTTCTTTTCTTACTTTAGTGAGATCTGGGACACCACAGAAAGGGCTCACTCCATCACAGTTCCCATGGAGTTAGTCCGTTTAGCAGATGTGGATGAGATCTGCTTGGTGGGTCAGAATCAAAATAGTACACAATCCATTGAAGCCAGTAAGTGCTCCCTCCACTTAACGTGTATAGAGGGAAGCAGACCCTTTTTATTGTGAATAATAAGGACATATTTTTCTTCATTTTAGTTTACTTTGTGAAGAATATAAAATGACATAGTGAAAGTAATAAAATCAACCCAAAAAGGTGAAATTCATTTTAGTACTATATTTTAACCCAATAAATCCAAAAGTTATTTAAATATATAAATATAAAATTATTGATGAGATAGTTTTCAAAAATCTAGTATACTATATTTTAGACATACAGGGCATCTCAATTCATATGCTCAATTCATATGCTACAAATTTCCCTTAGAAATACTTGACCTGTGTTTAGAGTATTTAATATCCTAAACTTAGAGTCAAGAAAGGAGAGATACAAACTTAAGTCATTCCAAATGTAAAGTTTTCCAGTAGCTGAATTAAGTTTTCCAGTAACCAGATTATCAATTTTCAATCCAAATTAATAAATTCAATAAAATTAAAACTTTAGTTCCTCGGTCATACTAAATGCTTTTTTCATGCTTGGTAGTTACAGGTGACTTATAGCCACCTCATGGGACAGCTCAGATCTACAGGCTTGATTAGATTCCAGCTTGGGGTTTCTTTGGGCCAAGACTACTTTATTAATATGACTACCATCCAGAAGTTTATAATGTCTAGTTATAGCTCTGTTTGTGTGGTTTGTAGTCCTGCTGATCATCGCCTAAGTTCCATTAATTTGGCAAGAGTTGCAAAGTGATCTATCATTGTTTTTAATTGCTAGCTAGAATATCATCAAGATTTCCTCTCATCAGTTATTTGAGGTAGTTTTTATAGGAAAGAACAGGTTATATATGCTTGATTCTCTCCCCTTTTTTATAAACCAGTTTTTAAAATAATGAGGTTTTTTTTTTTTAAGATTTATTTATCCATACAGAACTGGGGTACAGGCCAGAGATGCGAAGGGTGAGAGGATTCACCAAGGACAGAGTGGGGAGCAGAACAGGCAGATCAACGAAGTACACTGCTGAGGGGAGCAGCGGGCGGGTCAGGAGAGGTCTGCCACAC